TGAGAAACTTGAGGCTTGATTAGAGAGTTGAAGAACGAAGTTGAGGGAAGAAATAATATTAACATAGTTCCACTTCCTAATACATGATATAATCGGTAATAATGTTATAAACTGCAATACTCATATTTGTGAGAGTGTAGGAGTAATAGTAATTCAACAAACAAACTTCGTGGTTTTAGTCCGCAAGCGAACTATGCCTACAGAGCGACCGCCGCTTGTCGGCGAAGTTAGTGCTAACTTTAGCGGATAGAGTGTGTCACGTGGTCAGCGCGACGAATCCCCACGGCCGTCAATCTCGGTTTTCTAGATCGGAGCCGCTATTTCCTTGAAATAGCTCTTAATTTATCCTCAAAAGACAGTGAACCCCGTTCCAGACCCACTACTTCTCAGAAAATCTGGTAGCGCCAGGAATTGAACCCGGACCTCTGGATCTGTAGCCAGGAACTCTGACCACTAGACCACAGAGACAATTTGTATTGCAACAGGATGCTTAAATACAGTATTCCAGTATTTTACTTGCAACAATTAGACGAGTCCCTGAAACTGCAGGGGGTACCTAAGGCTTCTCAGCTACAATAGCTCGTAAATCATAGGAAAATTAAGTAGATACTGACTGGAGGACACGTGCCCCATCAGCTTAATGATTATGAGGCATTTAGGAATGCATTTTTAAATTCCTATTGGTCCCCTCCCCAACAGAGTTCGGTCAAATGCAGTATTTATCAAGGGAAATGTGACCGACGATAAATCTGTCATTATTTCGCTAGTTTCTTAAATATGCTACCACTGCCTCTTACCTAGCTCCTCTGATACGGAAGTTATCGAAGCGATTAGAAATCACTTCCATATTAACATGCACAGAATCGTGTTAGGAACTCAACTGCATTCTATCGGAGAAGCTCTGATCTCCTGAAAGGAGTAGGGATTATGGAGAATAATGATGCTTACGATAGAATAACCAACTCTAATCCAACTCAGAATCAAAATGGAAAGAGACATGGCCCGTCTCAGCCTACCTATGATGGAAATAGAGGTCAAAATCAAGTACGCAATGTACAAAGATATACTCGCCACAATCTTAGGCGAAACCCATACAGTCAAAGACGATATGAAGGATCAGAGGAGGAGGGAAGACACAACTCTCAAATTAACCGGAGCCCAAAGCTGCCAGAACTGATGTTCATTTATTATTCTGTAACAATCATATTTACCGAAGAGAGAGAAAGTGACAGGAGGGTGGAGAAAACTGCATAATGAGGAGCTTCATAACTTGTACACTTCTCCAACTATAGTTAGAATAATTAAGCCAAGGAGGATGAAGTGGGCAGGGAATGTAGCACGAATGGGGGAGAGGCGGAATGCATATAGGATATTGGTGGGAAAGCCCGAAGGAAAGAACCACTGGGAAGACCAAGGCGTAGATGGCTGGACAATATTAAAATGGATCTTAGAGATATATAATGAGATGGTATGAATTTGATTGCTCTTGCTCAGGGTGGGTACCAGTGGAGGGCTCTTGTGAACACGGTAATGAATTTTCGGGCTCCATAAAATACTGGGAAATTCTTGAGGAGCTCCAGATTTGGCGGCTCCTCAAGAAGGGCTCAGCTCCATAAGTGCCAAACATATTTAGAATCAATTTCAGTTTATATTTATATACAGGGCTACTATAAATGATTCATTCGTTTTTTAAAACGCTATATTTTCAAAAGCATTATAAATAGAAATGTGACTGATATATAAAAAGAACCGTAAACTCACCAAGTTTTCTTCAAACTCTACAACTGTTCTATGTGTGCCCCTTGGGTCACACGACACTCGTCCAGGCGGTAGTCGAGCTCGTTCCACAATTTTTGTAGCATCATCCTGTCAATGGTCATCGCTGCAGCATCGATGCGTTCCAGCAGATCTACTAGTGTTCTTGGCAGTGGGGGGTATGTGAAAACGATCCTTAATATACCCCCAAAGGAAGAAGTCACAAGGCGTTAGATCAGGTGATCTGGGGGGGCCAAGTGAACAGAGCTACGTCATCCTTACCAACACGCCCAATCCAGCGTGTCCTTAAATTGCCGATACCACCGCAAAATGCTTTGTTTACATGGTGGTTCTTTCTGTACTCTCTTTTGAATGCGCGTTGCACTGCTATAAAAGATTAACATCTCGCATATTCCAACAAACAGAAACTCTTTTCTTGCTTTGTCGCCATTTTGTAAAGGCACTGAACTCATGCTGCCAACTGGTGCATATAGTACAAACTTTGTGAGTTTACGGTTCTTTTTATATATAAATCATATTTGTATATATAATATTTTGGAAAATATAGCGTTTTAAAAATGAATAATCATTTATAGTAGCCGTGTATTTAAGTTACTTTGTAGTCTTGTGACTGCAACTTTGGCTGAGTTAACTCTAATCAGCGCCGGGCAGTCGAGGTTGTCCTATTTTACGTTATCTCTCAACAGTTTTCCGAGCTTAATGTAAAATGTAATAAAAATAAAGTGTGTTATGTGGTGTCAGGTATTAGTAAAGCGATTTATCAAAAGTGCCAGATAATGCACCAGAGTGTCACATTTGCAACGGAAATGCAAGATAGTTAAGTTTTAAAGTACAGTCCTATTTCATGCTAGAGCCGAAGATTGGTTGATCTGGGCACGGTGTTGCCAATTCGAAAGGAATCACTGCTTATGCATGCGTTGTAGGACTTTGGGCAATCAAAATAAAGTGGAAGATCTAGCAACATCGCAGCCTCGTATGGGATCTGCCAAATTTAGGGTATTGTCCTCTTGACGACGATGTTTAGATCAGCGTCTGTTTCATTGTGACACTTCAGAGACTTGCGTGTGGTTTTCTGACTCTTCGAAGGAATATATAGTGCCTTCATACTGAGGAATTTGTATCACTTAGAAGAGGGCAGAATGTCCTTCTCTGTTACCGGTGACCACCCACAAGTCTACCAACTGTTACAACGTAAAATATCACAAACTACTTACAGCAGCCTTGTCTTTAGCAGGACAATACGACTCTCATCCACCGTTTATTTCGGATACTTCAGTAGTCCCTCTTAGAATCGACTGTGTGTGTTTTTTTTTCAGTGGCTCTTCCAGCCCATTCAGGGCCCAGGCCTCTTATTCAGTTCCGTAATCATTTTTCACAGAAGGTGGGACTCCTTGGACGAGTGATCAGCCCGCCGCAAGGCCGCTACCTAGCAAAAAAAAAAAAACTCCGTGTTTTTAGTCCACAAGCGAACTGTACCGACCGAGTGACTGCCGCTTGTCGGCGAAGTTAGTGCCAACTTTAGCAGATAGAGGGTGTCGCGTGGTCAGTGCAGCGAATCCCAACAGCCGTTAATTTCGGTTTTGTAGACCGGAGCCGCTATTTCCTTGAAATAGCTCCTCAATTATCTTCACGAGGCTGAGTGGACCCCGTTACAGGCCCACTACTTCTCAGAAAATATAGTGGCACTGGCAATCGAACCCGGACCTCTGGATCTGTAGCCAGGAACTGACCAGTAGACCACAGAGGCGGTCGCCGCTACCTAACATTAAAACAAATACACGCACACAGACATTCATGCCTTGAGTGGGATCCGAACCCATGATCCCAGTGCTCGAGCGAGCGAAGACAGTTGATGTGGCTGCTGTGACCGACTTGACTGTGGTATGCATGCGTGAAATTTCTTACGAAATGCTCGTAAAAAATTTGCCTTCGTGCTAGTGTCCGCGGGATGTAAGGATGGGCCGAGCACAAGGTCGTTGCCGGTTTTACAATACAACCGCTTCAGTTCTGTGGCTATCGCAGCCCAGAGAGTCCTGGAGTGGACAGCGTAGCGAACGAAAGTGGCTCGGTTCGTGGTCGTGTCAGCCTTCGTGAAGATTATCAGTAAGTCGAATATTTTTCAGCAGGATCAGCAGTCAGTTCACTTAGGTCTACCCAATACAGTTCTCTCATAACTTGTTAACTTCTGATTGAATTTAGACATCATTTTGATCCATAAATTATTCTCCACATAATTACATTATCCTCAATATAATGCAAATTCATAACTTTGGTGTTTGTGAGCTTTCACTAAGGTTCACGATAAGCAAAATTTATCACCTCTATTCAACTTAAGATACATGTAAGTCATTTACTCATAATTTCGTACAGTTCTATTCCAGTATTAATAATTATTCGCCGCTTTCTCAGATATGTCATAAGACATTTATCATGAATATTACGGAGTTTTAATGTAGGCTTTTATATTCAGAGTTGCCTGTGAGATTAATATTGTGACTAAGGTAAAAAAGGTAAAGCTATCCCTGTAGTAGGGCGTGGAGGCCCATAGGGTTGTGAAAGGTCGAGGTTCCAACATTTTCTTCACACTCGGCTCACAGATACCCGCGAGACTATCAGCCTTACGCGCTGGCCGCCCTTTAACCCCAGGAACATCCCTGGTACTCATTTCTGCTAGAGGTTTAGTCGACCCCAGGGCCATAGTGCGGCTGGAAGGATTAGGTAAATTGAAAAAAAAAATCCACCTCATCGGGATTCGAACCAGTGACCTTCCTGCTTGTAGCATAGTGGCTCAATCAACAACGCTACGGCGTACCCTTCGACTAAGGTAAAAATCTAATTATAAATATTTTCAAGAGAGTTTTCGTAAGGTATTTCTTATGCGCACATTGTTGCTTTCCTTTCAACGAATAAATTAATCACTTACTAAAATTAGAAGTTCTTTGAAACTGTACAGAACTATAAGGTTTATTATGGACTCTATTCATCGTCCAGTGATTGAGACTAGCTCTTTGTAACGGGCACAACTGAGTAGATCTATCTTGCCCCATCCACTTGAGGACGGAGACAGATCCAGTCTCCGGAACGTTGTGGTTTCTTGTCTTATATATACCAGACGATGAATAGAGTCCAAAACAAACCTTATAGTTCTGTACAGCATACACCGTCGTCAGAATCCTCTAAAGCCTATCTTTTGAAACTGGTTTGACATATTGGTTAGTACTCACATTTTCAAATTTGTCCATCGCCAACAATTTAGTCTGTGGGCTGATGTTTTGAGAGTGTCGTGGAGCTAACAGAGTTCATTTATCTTCTTATCGCGTTCACCCGAAGATTGGAATAGAACCAAGTTGCGTGAGTGGTTTTAATAGACTCGAACGGGGGCAAAATCCAAACGAATAACTTTAATCAATGTGATTTTTTTTCTAATATCTTCACCACTCAACTTAAGTGTACAGAGTGGCCAAAAATTCCATTAACCTGAAATATTCTCTCTGGCATTAACGGGAATGTTCAGATTTAAACCTGCCAGTGAACTTGTGGGAAGGTATCACAGCATTGTGATTTGCGCCTTGAATATGGATATCACTCCTAACAATTTTCCTAATGCAGAAAAAAATGAAGACATTTCTCAAGTATTTTACTAAACATTTTACTGACAAATCAACTGACTTTTGGGACACACTGTATTTGTTAGTTAGCATACCAGCTCATAACTTGGAACATTTTCGTCCACAGATTTAGGCTGACGTAAGTTAACTCTACTAACGACCATGGGGAACCGTTGCGCTGACCACGTGACACCCTCTATCCGCAAAAGTTGACACTAACTAAATGTGGAAATCGCTCGGTCGGTATAGTTCGCTTGCGGACTACAGGCTACGGAGTTTGTTTTTATTTTAAGGTAACTCTCGTGAATATTTTCGTAAAAGAACTTTTAATGTCTCTTTTATGTGTGCTGGCATTTCAGGTTAATGTTTTTTTTTCTTTTTTTTCTGTTTGAAATTATGCTGTGACGTCATCCGAGATAAGTACGTGAATCTTCGCTATATAATCTTGATGCTGGCTGCGTCATTACGTAGCCTTCAATAAAACATGTGAAACTTTCTTCTCATGAGGAGGAAGAACGGCAATATCTACCCTAACTAATGATGCTGTGAACATATGGGCCATATGTTGTGAGCTTGTTAGCTTATACATTGACAGACATAACCTGTGTTCAATTAAATGATGAATGTCGCCATTAGATAAATCGATTGGTTGAAAATCGCATGTCGCGTGGAATTCCCCAACTTGCTATTCAGCAGGTCCTGGATTCAAATCTCGGCCCATATATGGATTATACTGATTGGCATTTGGTTTTTCCTCAGCTCCAGACAAATACCTGGATAATGCCTGAAGCTAGGACACGACTTGGTACTTCTTGTCCTTTCCAATTCATTTCGTCTAATCATCTACACACTTGACAAATGATATAAACTCCGTCTCAAGTGCAAACAATATATTTGTGTCTTTGATCTTGCTCCCTATACTACATGTTTCGGCCTCAGACGGCCATCATCAGGTGTATAACACTCACGTCGCTGTCACACTGCACCCAGTTCAAAATTTAACATCTAAAACACTCTCCCTGTCATTATCAACTTCTACTTCGTTGATAGCTGTCCACCCGTAGATTACTTCACACACGTTAATTTTGAGTTTATTGTAATAGCACCATAATAAAATCTTTAGTTCTAATTTTAAACCTTTAAATTCTTGTCCAAATTTTAAAATTTTAAAATTGTTAGGGTTATTCGCCCTGTGTTTGAA